CGAGACATGAAAGTACTCCCGGAGAAGTGACAGACAGGTTTTGTTTAAGTTTGTGGAAGGCTTTCTGGATGTGATCATTTGGCTTGGCACAACATACCTTTTGCAGACATTCTGATGGTTGTTTTTTTTTGTGAAATGTAGGATGAATCATCTTTTTTCAAAACAAAATCTGAAACTGTCAAAAAAATTCTAATTTTTTCATAACCATATCTCTGAGGCTGTTTACTAGCTCCATAAACATGAAAAGTTTCTCATCTCTGGGGGATTTCAGGACAGAGTCCAGTCACACGTTTTTGGTGAAAACTTTCTTCCAAAGTTCATTGTTGTTCATTGTCTGATAAGATGGTCATACCATAGGTAACCAAGCAGCACTTTCTTGTTTGCCTTTGACATGTTCATTTTTAGCAGGTTTTTCTTCATCTTCAAAAGCTTCAATCCCCTCTGGCATTCTTCTCTGATGGGTCACTGGAGTCTAATTGTCAGATAGCCTTACTGAATTCTGTAGCTCACTTAATCATGCTCAGTTCTTCTGCACGATCTGTCCTTGTAAACTTTTTTTTTAAATTTTAATTTTTCAAATAAAAAAGAGCAGAAGTAGATTGTGACTTGAGGTTTTTACTTCCACACACTGTTCAGGTCAGTTATGACTGTTGTAACTGTTCACATTCACTTAAGGTTTTTTTTTTTTGTCACCACTGGATAATAAAGCCCTCCTTTACTTTCCAAATAGTGTTATTTAATTCTTTAAATCTCTTCTTATATTGTAAATGTTATTTTCTTAAACATCAAGCATCGTCTTATCAAAGACGTGTGTACTTGGAAGTTTATAATATATTTTGGATAATTTAGTATATGCCAGACAAGCTCTATGTTTATGTTTACAGTCAGAGAGCTGCACCAAAAGTGGAAATTCATACCTATCCCATACACAATTGTCATGTAATTATAGGCATCAGACGGTGGTTGACAAAAATAAAAATAAAAATAAAACAAATAAAAAAAATAATCAGGCCAAGAGTTTGATTCCTTTTCAAGCTACTCTGTTTATTCAAATCAACAGACAAAGTGCAACTATATGTTTATTATGCTGTCAGATGGCATAGTTTCACTGAAGGATCACCATGGACAAAAGTATTCAAGCAAATTAGGTTTTTCTGATATTTAATGCAGAATTTATGTCTTTCTTTTTTAGTTTTTTGACAAATAAATTGAGAGATAGTTGGCAATTCACTAACAGCCAGTAAACACATTTGAAATTAATGCAAAACAATATTATTATACAAAGGTGGCTATGTATGTAACTTTAATATTGATTCACATAATCAAATTTGAGTATGCAAATTTCCAAATAGATTCAGTGCTGCAGAAACAAAACATTACCTACCGAGTAATGATAAATTCAGGAATACTCATCTTAATTTAAACAAAGATAAAACTACAAAGGTCTGATTAAAAATGTGAAAAAAAACCCACAACACAATGCAACACAATGAGAACAAAGAAACCCTATTTTCTATTTTTAAAATTGCATAAATCCATAATAAATCCATGAAGGTAATAGCACATACACGGAACTGCATTTTAATGCACAAATAAAACAACAAATAAACTTATATCTCAAAAATCTACTGTTTTAGAAAAAAAAATCAAAACAGTACAATACATCAAGCAGCAACTAAAATATGTCAAACAGTTTCATTGGTTATGCTTCACTCGTGTCATGTTATAAATGACAAAACAATTCTGTAATATCATGTTTTTAAAACTTCCAATTAAAACAATTAAACAACAATGTAAAAAAATCATTTGAGACGTTTCTTCACAAAGTTTGTAAACTTCACTACATAAAAGCTTACATAGATGTGACAAATCCACGAACAAAGTATTAAATAGACACTTGGCAAAAAAGTTTTAGGAACTCAACTTTTTCTATGAATCAGAATGTCTGTTGTTTAATCTAAGGTGTTAGCAGAAATAATATATTTATGTCTGAAAAACTGCGGCAGCAGGAAAAATGACCATGACACATACTTCTTTTGCATTGGTTTTAAACATTACAGAGCCCTTTCCTTTCGTTTTTGCCCCTACATGTAAACACATAAACACAAAGAAAAGTCTCAGAATCACCTTCCCATGGGGAAACTGAGCACAAACTTTAATGTCCCTCATTATCTTTGGTGTCTTTCACATCGTTGGTCAGGGCTGTTCCACTGAGATCCATGACACTGTGATCTGAGGCAATAAGTAAACATAAAATAAGTTGAAAAACACAATAATGGATGTTAAAAAAATCTTATTCCACAACAGAAACTAAGGTGTATACAAGCTGATGTTGTAATCTTAGTAGATATAATGTGTTAGTAAACATATTTGCATGTTAATATTTAGAACTTGCTGTTACATTAATGTCCAAGGTGTCTTTCTGCTGATATATAAAAAGTTGTCTGTTTGGTATACGTTTCCTTCCAAACATATACTATTGCTATTAAGAGCAACAAAACACTAATGGCGAGGGGACAGGACTTTTATTTTATATGTACCACTATTCATAAGAAGAGTAATTTCCTGGACTTGCTGGTTTTTTTGCAAATAAATACATGATGTTGGTTAAACTGGTAGTTTTACAAAATGTGTTTCGAAAATAATTTTTCAACCTGAAAAATGATGTCTTCAAGACCATAATACAAACACGATCACTATAGAACTATAAACTAATAACAAGCAGCTACAGTTCACTGTAGTTTCACTGTTATGCTTTCTTACCTGTGTCTGCAGTTTTGCTCTGAATGTCAAAGGCCACGGGACCTCTGATGGTGAATCCAAGGTAAAAGGTAACTGAGCGTGGTTTCCAAATTTTGTTTCTCACATTGGCATCCATCTCAATCTCTTTGCCACCAACTCTTGTATACACTTTGTAGTTTCTTACTTCTCCATCAAGTCTGAGAAGGAGCTCTTGAACATCAGGATTTCTGAAGATTTCTTCTTTCTTCCAGTTATCGCTCCAATCTGCTTCAATCACTTTCAGATGTTTCTCAATAACATTTCTGTGAACAATTCTCTTCACACCTTCACCTTTCCCAATGAAAAACACAGGAAGGAGGTATCTGTTTCGAAAGTACTTCTTATATGTATTTTCATAAGACTTGTACATTTGCTGAGTTAACTCACTGAGGTCATAATCACACCGGCCTTGATTTCCAGCCCAGTACCAGAGGAGGGAGAACATGTGCAGCTCAGGTGGGTCTTTCTTGCTCGATGGCATTTTCTCTATAAATGGTGTGAGGATGTTGTTGACCAGAGCTGCTTCTGAATCTGCACTTGGATGCATTTCTCTACACTTTGTAGATATGTCTTCGAGCTCTGATTGAGTGTATTGTTTGATAAGAAATGACAGCACTTCCACAGACTGTTCATCTAGGTTTCCCTCCTGAAACATCTGGATGAGTTGTTTTGCAGTTGTGTCTCCAACATACTTCTGGTAGCACTCTGAGGTATCTTTAGATATATATTCAGGATCATCTTTCTCCATGTTAGGCTTTGAGTAAGTCAGATATTTTTCCAAAAAAATGCATTTTCTCTCAATGTCATCTTGCAGGCTTAATATGAGATCATTGAATCTTTGGAGTTTGTTGTCTCCAAGTAATTCAAGGACAGAGCCCATCGATACTTTTTTGGTGAGAACTTCTTCCCAGGTTTCATTTTGACTGACAAGTTTCTCATACAGAGTTTTGCAGACCTGCAGGTAACCAAACTGCCCTCTGGAGTTATAAAAAGGTGAAACTTTTATATTGCCATGTTTTTTCATGTCTGGTCCATCTTCATCTTCAGCAAGTTTTTCTTCATCTTCAAAAGCTTTAATGGCTTTTTTGGCCAGTCTCAAAATGTCTCTTGGTTCAGAAACCTCATCGTTCATTAGGTGGTTTTTATGGACTTGGCCAAGTGTGTCAGCAACAAAAGAATTTTGAGGATCTCTTTCTATTGCTCTCTGTGCCCACATTTCTGCCTGATTGTAGTCATTTAGTTTTATGTAATAAAAACGAGCAAGAGCTTGTGGAAAAAATGGATTTTGACCAAATGTATTTGAGGCCACTTCTAAAACTGTTGCACACTGCTCTTTCCCCTCCATCATTTCAATGTCTAGAATCAGTCTAGAAAACTTTTCCTGTTTCATTTCTGTGCTGTTGACTTGGTCCACTTCTTTTTTCATTTCTCTTTTGGTTAACATCTCTTTGACAAAACCAAGCAACCACAGAGGAATCGCATATCTGCAAAAACTGTTCAAGAAGTTTCTTGTTGTGTCACTTCTGGTCACACCTGCCTTTGCCAACAGTTCAGTACAATATTGTGCTATCATAGTGTGAGCCATGCGGACCTTTTTCTCAGCTCTTCCATCTTCTTGGAATGTGATGATGAGATGACTGAAAGGCTGCATTTGATCCTCCAGTGAAAGGTCATCGTAGTCTTCATGTCCGAGGAAGTCCAGGCACTGAGACTCCAGGAGATATGAACCTGGTATGTAGGCATTCAGCAGGCACAGGAAGGCAGCAAGCTGTGTCTTCCGAGGTTTATTTGTTTTTTTGCTGTTTTCTAATGCAGCACATGCCTTCCTGACGTAGGCCTGAGAGAAATTACTTTGCATTATGTTAAAGCCATGAAATTGTTCACATTTATCTTTGTACCTCTTTTGAAGCTCTTCCTTTTTCTTATCAAATTTTTCCTTCTCATTGTCTGAGAGTGTGTTCTTTAGGACAACGTGGTCACTCTGTTGAGGTGCATTGTTTCTCACACAGCTGAGGAAAATGACTACAGGCATACGAGTAACTATCTTCTGCTCAGCAACTGTCATCATAATGTTGATTTCAAGATCTTCCAGGATTTTCTTTTCATCCACTAACAACAGCACAGTGTTCTGGTCGTTTCGACTGCCTGCTGTGAAAAGTTGGACAACCTCTTTTGCAACTTTTGCCATGTCTGAAGTGGAGCCAGTTAAAACAGCACACCTGAAGGTTTTTCTCAAATCCCACATCACCTGCATGGCCATTGTAGTTCCCCCACATCCTGGTTGGTGTGTCAGTTTTACAGCTGATATCCCTGGAAATGTTCTCTTTTTCTGAATTTGTTCCCTGAGTTTCTCATATCCATCTCTTTTGATAAAAGCAGTCCCAGGGGACTCTGCCTGTTCACTGATGTAGAAGTTTAACCACTGAGGTGGGGCCCCTCTGTAAAAATTCTCTTCTGTCTTCCCAGTGAGTGCTGGATCAAAAATTTCTCCTTCAAACTGATTTGCATGGAGAACATGCAACATTGTGCAGGAATCTCTGAATTCACTCCGTACATATACTTCCCCACCTTTAGCAGTGGACAGGGCTGGTTTGTATGCCATCCTCAGCTTTAATAGTCCTGCGAATGAATGTTAAAAAGTAAAAGTAATTTAGTCTGAACTGTTCTTTGAGCCTAAAGGAGTAGTCTAGGCAGTAGCAAACACAACCTTAATAAGAGTTTTGTATGCTGGGATTTCAGATTCACCCTATGACATGTGATTCATAAATACTAGTTAACAGCTTCTTTGAATTACGTAGTCATAGAGACAAACACTACATGAAGCCTGCAATTCCAACCCCTAAATTTACGCTGACCAGATTATTAGGCATACCTGTTCAACTGCTTGTTAAAATGAACATCTAATCAGCCAATCCCATGGCAATATCTCAATGCATTGCTGTATTTATAAATGGTGAAGAAGTACAAACTGAGCAACGGAATGGGGAATTAAGTGACTTACATCACTTTGAAGGTTGCATGGTTTGTCGTTGGCAGACAAGTTGGTTTGAGTATTTAAGACCATCATATGACCACACTGGGTCTCACGTCTGTCAGCTAAGAAAAGCAAACTGAGGCTACCATTCACATGACCAAATTTGGATAATAGAATATAGGAAAAACGTTACCTGGTGAGATTAGATTAAATTTTTACCACGACGTTTGGATGGTAGGATCAGAACTTGGTATAAACACCAAGAAACCATGGATCAGTCATGAATTATACCAACAGTTAAAAGCCTCAGTCAAACTAGAGTAAAAATGTAATCCATGTAATTGCTAACTTTAATTTAATCAAAAACTGATAGCAGACTGATAAATTGCCATTGCATACCATTTTGACACCCCATGGTAGGTTATAAGACACAACTGACCACTTCAAAAGAAAATAGATCAAAAGCTGATGCTATCATGTCAATACGGACAAAATCTTTGAGTTATGTTTTCAGCACCTTGTTAAAGAGTGAGGAATTAAAGCAACTCTGCAGCAACAGGAGCTAGCAACGTATACCTAACAAATTGTCCAATGAATGTATAATGCTGCATTATCCCTATGGACTTTGAAATCTCTAGGAACCTCCAAAACCATGTAATAATTACATATGCAAGCAATTTTGCATAGAGCAAATTATAGAATGATCGTACTATTTGTAACACGCTTTGTGTGAAAGTACACATTTACAGCATCACATTCATAACAAAGTTAACATCTTTGTGGATCCATCAAGACTTTTCTCACCTTGTCTTCCAGTTCTTGCAAATGTGGGTGAAGTGTTCTGCTGATCTGTGACTGGTGACTATGTTCTATAACCTGGGTACCAGGAAGCTGCTATATATAGTATACAGCCACATGCCACACCCAGGAAAGGTTTGTGAGTATATGTATACACCCACCAAAAGACCCGTAGAATGTGAAAACCAAAGTGAGTAGTATGCTATGATCAAAATGTTAGAAGGAATCAAGTTAGGACATATTTGCTGTCAAACAAAAAAGATAGATGGGAATGAGGCATGTATAAGATATTTAGATGGAAGAAAAGTAGGAAGAATTTAGTAATGAAAGATCAGGGAATTTATTAGATTAATATATTTGTATATTTAGTGTCATGGAAATTCATGGGGGAAAATGTCCACAGTGACTTATGTTATTGTTTTTGTACTTTGATCCAGCAGTATCGTTTTACTGGAAAGGTTTTACATTTCTGGTAAAGGGTGGGGTGAGGTCATTTGAATAGAAATGTTACTGGCAACAGGCCAAATACTAAAATAATTTTCTTTATGTTAAAGAAGACAGTGCCATTAACATAGTTACTGTAAGGTATTTAAAGTTTTCTTTCACTGTCAGAATGAAACCTACCACTATTGATGCTGACTGACTTTACAGGCCTGTCTGTCTGGTTTTATCATTAAAAATCTGCAGGACAGACAAGTGATGTATTCATCTTGACATTGGTAACACTTGTAGTGGACTTTAAAAGTTGCTGAGCAACCAACAGTCCATGGAAATGATTAATCCATAACTTAGTAACACTGTAACTACAGTGTAAAAAATGTAGATAAACTACTAAATTAATTTTATTAACATGAAAGAAAGTTCTATTAAGATGGTCACTGTTTCCGTTGTTTCTCATAATGAAACCTACCACTGGATTTCTTCACTATTGAACCCGATTGTCTCTGTAGGCCTGTCTGTCTGGTTTAATCAGTGACAATAAATCTTGTGTACTGATAAGGTTGGAGAATTCTGGTAAAAGGTTGAGGTGAGTTCATTTGAAGAGAAATGTTACTGACAAGTGGCCATGGCCATTTGTTAAGCTGTAAAAAGAAAATACTCTGCGTACTGAAGTTTTATTTTTCCATGTTATTAAAAATTTTTCACTGTTTATTTAATTTATTTCACTTTGAGTTTTCTTTTATTCTCATAAAAAACCTAAAACTGCATTTCTTCACTTTAAGTTCTTACTGTTAACCTGTAAACCTACCTGCTGGGTTTTCTGGTACTGACAGAGGTTTTTATGGAGGCTCTAGAAGAACACTGAGGGGAATTTTTAGGATTGCTTAGTTAAAGAACCAATCAATACAAGTAAAAGTTTAATACTGAAAATGTCTCTTAAATGTATTTAAATATAACTATATACTGCTGTAGAAGTCTTTAGGCTACCTTTTTGGAAGCCACTGGACAAAGCAGGAGAGTATATCTAGAAATGGCCAACTACTTCAGTTATTTAGGTTATTCTGTTTGTTTAATGGCTCAGTCACTAAACCTTTTCTCACATGTCTTCCTCTGATGTCTCTATTAGCAAATTCTTTAATCTAAGCGATGTGAGAATGGGAGTCTGGTAAGGAAAGATGATCAGCAGTTAAGGTTGGGTTGTTTTTTTTTAACCTAAACTGATGAGTTAGAGAGAGACAGCATAACTAAATTTGTGGCAGCTATACTGAAGAGATATGCTTACATGACAAAAAACCAAGAAGGTATTATTAAGGGTAGAAGAAATCACCCCAAGGTAAGTACCTTTGCACCATCAGCTTGAAAAGTACTTGGAACTATTTATAAGCCTGCAGGAGAAATTACAGATGAGTATATTAGTTCATCAATGTTTTCCTGAAATCTACAAAATAAAGTCATTAAACAGTTATATCACAAAAAACACATCAATAATATATCCAACAAATTATTAAATAACTCAAACATAATAATAAAATTGATGTCTATTTAGTTATTAAATAAATTAGATTTGAATTATAACTGAAACTATTAATTATTACAGCTCTATAACTTTTTTTTAGTTTCATAAATCCCTTCTAATACTCACTGCACTCTTAAGGTCAGTGTAACACTAGATCACTTCAATGTCTCAAATAGCAGGAGAAACACATAATCTTATCTATTAAAGAGCCGACAAGTCTTGACAAACATAATGAAGTAGATTGACAATGAAACAACCACACCTGCCACTTGTAACATCAAGTAAGAACTATGCACTTTACCAAAATTAGAGACTAGCAGAACATGAGACAAAACATCCCACTGACAGACTCAAAAGGCAGTAACACACAGGCAACCCACAGAGCCCAACAACTAATTGAGAAACACATCAATTTAAATGTTTACATTTCCTTCCTGTGGTAATGGATCCAAACTAGATACCTGGAGGTTCATATTTAATATGGAGGTACATAATAAGTTAAAGGTATGACACTACTTCAATGTGCAAATCCTTTCATGTCAGCTTGAACTGTTAGAATCCTACAAAAGCCAAATCAAAACCACAGGAAGCTTTCTAAGCTGTAAGTTAGACCTTTACCCACAGTGAAGGAGGAAACCACTCCAATACAATTATATTAGAATTAAAAATGCTTCAGTGCTTCACCTCCATTGTCTGCTACTACAAAACACACATGCCTAGAGATGATTGTTCAGGATGAACATCATGGAAAATTGCTCAAAGTCACGTCACAATTTCAAGTTCATTCACTCCAGCAGTTTGCAACTGAATCAAGTTGGCACTTTTACCTAAGATGGGAGCATTTTTATGCATGAAATGTAAACTTTATTTGTCTCAACAAAAGCAAAAACATGTTTTTGTTGTGCAGCTCTAGAGAAATGCAGCACACGAGGTTAAAAACAAACAACAAAACTTAAGCAGTTTTCAGGAAAGCCAAACTTAATGCAACTCATTCTTCTAGTGACAGTTCAAAGGTACAATGGAAAACAACAACAAAGAAAACATTGCTGCACAACTTCATTACATCACTCACCGTACATTCAGCATTCCTACAGTAACAACAGCCTCATTGTCATTAACAGCAACTCACCCATGTACAGCATTCTTGTGCAACAAGTGCCACATTCAGAGTGATCTGATATAAAAGCCAAAGACTAGAAAATATGGTGAAGCATATCTTCCCTTTGGTTTCACCTGCACAAGTGCCAAGGTAGGTCTCCCCTGCAGAATTGGTTTTCCCTGTGTCAGGAGCAGCACTGGGCTGTTCAAATCACAGACAAACAGTATCCTACAATTGTTTATGTTTTTAAACCCATTTTGCACAGAGGGGCATTTTTTGAAAAATGTATTGATAGCAATGTTGAATATTATTACACATGAAAAAAAAAAACAACTACACATAAAATAATCACACCGTGATGCCTCTGCCTTTGTAAATGGAGGGACAGTAACTGCATGTTTATATGTAAGTGTGTAAAAACGGAAGATAGTCAAATTAACAGTATTTTGTCTCTATCTGCCATTCTGCAATTCATCTCATGTAAACAATAACG